GACCTTGAAAATATTTTTAGAAAGAGGCATGGTAATTAAATTTAAAAATGAATACTATAGTTGATTAGTGATTTTGAACTCGGCTAATTACAATATTAAATTTGTTAATTTTCAATTAATAAATGATTATATTTATTTAATTAGGGTTATATAATAATCTAAATATAAAAGTCAATTAAGTTTCAACTGTTAATGCTAAATTAATATTTAGTGAATGATATTGATATTTCATTTTTAATACAGAATTTGATTGAAACTGACATAGTGAAAATATAATTTATATGTATTTATCTAATCTAATAATTAAAATAGTATTCATTTAATAAAAATTTATATAATCTTATTAATTTTTAAATAATAAAATTAAATCTATATATTTCTTGATAGAATTATAAAAAAAATCGTTCAGATAGCTATGAAAAAAAATTTATTTTTAGTTCATGGAGATATTAAGGAGCCATTTAAAAAAAAATTAAAACTTGCTTCAGGGGCTATTCAAATTTTTCAGGGGGCTCGAGCTCCTGCGCGCCCCTTCCTAATGAAGCCACTGTATCGATCCATGCATTCATTTGAAGGATCTGCATATGGTTGACCCTCTATATTTTCTAAATGGGCAATTAACCTTTCTTTTAGCATTAATTTGTGGCAGATTAATAAAAGGCCAATTGAGCTTAAATTTTGGGTGAATTATTGATGCCAATATATTACTGTCATCATATAGTGAAGGAAATCTATAATTTTTATTACATGCATATTGTTATGATCTTCACAAATAATAAAAATTGTATTTTTAAAAGAATTAATTACTTCTAAATGCCTCTTTAGGTTTGAACTGCTAATCTTTGAAGATCTTGTTTTTTCATAAAAAGAATTTTGCACATTGTATGGTTACTTCCATCCGTTTCACATAAAGTAAAATACTTACATAAATTATGAAATCGTAAAAAATTCTCATTCTCACTTATATCTGCTATTACATCAATAGAAGTAGATGTATCATCTTCTAAATTTATAATGGAGGACATTATTAAAACCTAGAATTTTTATTATATTATAATATAATTAATAAGTAAATATAACTTGTCCTTACAAAAAATTTGGGATTGTTGAAATATAAAATCTGGTGGATAAGTGGTTTATAAAATATGATGTAGATAGATATTTTTTTTTAAAATTATATTTAAATTTAATTTTTATTTATTGCTTTTTAAGTAAAAAAATAATTTTTAAAAGGATCGGGATCGAATATTTAAAAAAATGATCTCGACACGATCCACAATTTAAGGTCAGGATCTTAAATCCTAGAAAATTGACAAATTTAGGATCCCAGGATCGGCGATCTTTTGATTCGATCCTTTAACAACTCTGAGTATTTATATTATTTAAATTATTCTATATCTATTCACAAGGATCCTATTTTTTTAAGTTTTTTTTAATCTATCTACTCTACCCCATACCTATATTGTAATTTAATTTTCTATAAAATTTAGATATCTCATGCTTTGTGATTCATCGCTATTTATTTCTCATCATTATTTGTGATTCATGGCTATCTCATACTAAAAATGCATAAATATTTATTTACCTTTATGCATACAATAATTTTTTAAATATGTTTTTCTTTTACTTACATGGAAAAGCAAAACATACACTAAATTCATTGAAAAACAACAATAAATTAATATAATAAACAATAATTTATTTTCTAGATATAATTTTAATTGATCATAGTGCAAAAAAGTATAAGAATCATTTATTTTTATTTCATGGATAACAAATAATGATGCAAACATTAATCATTCGCCATTATAAAAAATCAATTTTGTTAGAATTATTGCAGTGTATGCAATTTCAATCCATAACTTAATTTCTGGGGTTATCTCCAATAAAACGAGGTAAGATTTGTTATTTATTATAAAAATATTAGGACAGACCTGATTTTGTCATGATTCTATAATAAGTGTTTTGCCCAGGCTTTCCCAGTTTCCTTTATTACGATTTTTTTTGTATGTATACCAGGAGTTAACCCGTAGACTAACTGATACAGAAATTTCCCCTTCATTTGATGATAAATTAATTAGAAATTTAACTATCTCCGGACTTGGGAAATTTTTCAAAATTATTATGGGTTAGGCTGGGCTTGGAAAATATTCCTCAAAAATATGGGCTTGGACCTGGCTTGGGAAAATTTTTACAAATTATTATGGACCGGGCTTAGTAATTTTTTTTAAAAATTATTCTGGGTTGGACCAGGGTTGAGAAAAAATTTTCAAAATTATTATGGATTGGGCTTATGAAAATTTTCTAAAAATTATTAAGGTCTTGGACGCTTGGAAATTTTTAAATATATATTATGGGCCAGACATTGGCCTAAATTTTTTTTTTGCAGGCCTAGGGTGGGCCTGATCAAAAAACCATGGGCCATGCTGATTTTGATTGCATTTTTAAATGCATTATGATTTTTTTTAAATTTTATTTTGGTTCAGAAATATAAAAATTATTATGGCGTTTGATAGAACTTGAGGAAATTTTTTCAAAATTATTGAGGGCTAGAACCTGGCTTGGGATTTTTAATATTAAATGTTAGCCATAGATAATCAATAATATTTTAACAAATAATTTTGATATGTGGTAAAAGCTAATTTAAATATATTTTGACTCAAAAAAAATCACTCTTAGTCTTAATGGGTTGGACTTGTCCTGGAAGGGGGGGGGGTAAAAAGAAAATTGGATATGATTTTTATATAAAAGGTAACATCATCGTAAAAGAACGAATAAAATTTTTATTCCCCGTCATTTTTGACGGGCTATCTACTAGTTTCTTAATAATTTAACTATTTTATCGATGGAACAATAAGACAATAAAATATAAACAATATGTCGAAATTATTCAATAAATTTTTTTTAAAAAATTTATTTGCTTTCAATTATAAATATTTTTAAAGTTTATATTTTATTATCATTTTTCTAGTTATTTATATTTAAAAATTACATTACATACTATTTTCGAAATTTATAATTGAGGATGGGGGTCAAAAAAATAATTAACCTTCTTCTGGATTGGAGTATTATTTTTTATGGGGGTATTCTACTTCCTTAGCTCAGGGTTGGTTGAGGCCACTGTCTTTAAACGTAATACCGTGATATAAATTAAAATCAAATTTAAATATTTAGGAATATTCTACAATTTTTCCCTCAAGCTCGCTCCACCTCTTTATTTTGCCCAATCCTAAATAAAATCTTTATATATTTCTATTATGAATAAGTTATCATTTCGATTTCAAAATTTAAATATATATAAATGCAAGTGAAAGTATTTGAATAAATTTAATTTTTTTATATTTAAGCCATAGCTAATCGGAAAAAAGTAACGGCGTTATTAATTAGTTACATATTTTTTATAAAATGTTAAAAGCATTGATAATTATATATAATCAAGAATTAAAGAGCAAGATAAAGTGTTCTAAACAAGATGGAGAATAATCAAGTAAATTAAAATTAAATTTACAATGGCAGGCATACTACATTACCATATTATACACCATTAATACTATCCTACCTTAAATGAAACTAACAACTACCTACTCCCACCTTGTTAATGAACTACATAAAGGTGTCGTTTTCTAAAATAAAAGGGTAGACTTCATACCATATTAGCTAAAATACATGATACATATGCTTCAACTCAATCATAAGTCATGAAATTGCATATGCAATTTATGGCTTGATAAGGAATGAATTTTTTAAAACAACTTTCAGAAAATTAAAAAAAAAAGTTTTTGTTTTTTTTGACAATTATTAAAGTTTTCAAAATTTATTATATAAATTCGAACATATTAATATATTATATCATTTTTAGGAATACCAATTATGTACTTTTTATTTATGACATATTTTAATCAACTTATAAAATTTAATATAATTAGTTGTATTAACTTTTAAAATAACATTAAATATTTTTAACTCTTCATTGCACAGGTGGGACTATGCAGAACTCAATCATTTTAAAAACATTATTAGTTAAAATTCTTTCGATATTTTTGCCTGAATCTTTTAGTAGCTCAACATTTTCAGATAAAGTATTAGTTAAAATTCTTTCAATATTTTTGCCTGAATCTTTTAGTAGCTCAACATTTTCAGATAAAGTATATATTTCTCCAAAATTAATTTCTAGTTTGGTGGGTAATTCATGAGTTATAAAGGTATTTTGGGTCTTGGGGTCACATAAACCCCACCTGCTCATCTGTATAACTTTTTTTCATCTGTTTTAGTATTGATATAAAATTTGAAAATCCCCACTAATGGTAATCTAATTTATTTCAAAAATTTTCTTCCTTATAATCCTTAAAATTCTACAAAAGAAATAGTGATGTTAAAGTAACTAGTAGTTACATTTTGGCTAAAAAATAACTGTAACTAGTTATATTTTTAAAATTGTAACTAGTAACTGTAACTATATATAATTTTCGAAATGTAACTGCCAAAGTAACTAGTTACTTTTAAAGATATATTCAAATAATTAATTTTATTTTTAATATGTTGTGATAAATTTATTTTTTAAATTAAATTTATTAATTTAAAATTTTGTGAAAATGTCTGATTGTTATAATTTCCAGTTCAAATTGATTTTCTTTTCTTAAATTGTTACATTGATTTATCTATTATTTTTAAATTTCCCGATATTATATTTTTTCACCATGAATAAAATATCGATTACCCACTATTTTGGGTCAGGTTATAAATTTTGTAAACCGATTCGTAAAAATTGTTCGGTTCATCCGGTGGTAAATATTAGTTTATTTTAATCATATTTATTTACAGATATAACTTACATTAAAGAAATTAAGCTTAAAATCAGCCATCACCCACCTTTAAAGTAATTAAATTATACTGTAGTTCTCGGGTATAGGCTTTTTCTTTGTCCCACTCCTTTTAAATTAAAGCCTATAGAGGTTTAAGCAACATTTTTCAAAATGTTGTGCCTACAAGTACGTACGGCTTGCCACAAACGTGTAAAGGGCTTCTCATCTTTTTCCCAAATTTTATTTAATCCAATTAGATGGAAATGAGAAATACCTAGCGTAGGTCTGTTGTACCTACAACGTTTAAAGGGCGTATGCGCTTTATGACGTATGACGTAAATTGTTACATTGCTGCTGGGCTTCATAATTTTGTAAGCAAATTCAAGTAATTTATTAAATTTTAATATTATATTTATTTACAAATGTATCACAATATATTTTCTTCAGTCAAGTAACAAGCATTGGAACTTCATATCATACGTAATAAAAAAATTTTTTAATTTAGTATAAGGAAAAACAGACAGATTATTTTAGAATTTAATATTAAAATTATTAATCATTACTTACAAGAACCAAGTTTAACAAAAATATCATGTTATAGGTTTAATAATCTTTATGATAATGACAACATCATTGCTGCAATTCTTCACCCTTTATTTAAAACTGACTGGCCTTGGATTAGGCAAGAAAGGAATAAAGCAAAAAAGGAGGAAATTTTAAATTTAATAAATACCTTAATACCTCAAAGTGAATCCCAGACGAATGAATCATGCTCAAAACAACATCACTTGATGTAGTTGGATTTTTGACCTAAAGCGCCAAAATATTCTGGATAATGAACTTATAGAAAACTTTATCAAATCTAATAACAACACTTTTTCTTTATATAACGATTTTCCAAAATTAAAATTACTCTTTATTAAATATAATGTTGTTCTAACATCAAGTGCTCCCTTAGAGTGCTTGTTCAGTCTAGGTAAGCTCATTTTTGGAGATAAACGAGCACGTCTCCTAGATAATAACTTTAAAATTAATTTGTTGTTAAAAGCAAATAAACATTTATTAGATTCTAATTTTTATGAAAAATAAATGTTTTTTTTTCAATGCAAATATATATTTTTATATTCGATGTAAATATTTAATTTTGCGATATTTTTTTATATAAATAAATTGTATATTATTTTAAATAACTGATTATACTTTGTTTATCCTAATTTTTTTTATATTAAATAAATGCATTCAATAATTAAATAATGCGCATATGAATGATGTATAAAGTAAGTAACTAGTTACTTTTGAAAATAACTGTAACTAATAACTAGTTACTTTTGTAAAAATGTAACTAGTTATGTTTTTGCCAATGTAACTAGTAACTAGTTATGTTTCAAAAGTAACTTTTAACATCACTAAAAAGAAACTATCAATTTTTTTATTAAAAATCTTAAATATATTTATTATAATATTTTGGCTAAAATTTTTAATATTTTTTTAACAAAAAGGAATTTTTAGTGACACTTACCAAGTTATTACCCTTACATCTGTTAAACTGTTTGTTTTTTAAAATAAAAACACGTTAGATGGCAACAATATTTAAAATTAGGCCAGACTATGTTGGAACTAGAGCCTTTGCAAAGATCCATTTTTTCAAATCTTCTAAGTTTGATATAAAATTTTTTTAAAAATATATATGTTTCTGACTTTTTTTCTTGAAAATCTAGGTTCATTCTGATAATTCGACAAAATAAAATTATTATGAAACATAAAAAACATAAAAGTAAGATTTATAGTATTAGGAATGCAAAATGATTGAAATTTACAGCCAATTAATCACAAAATAATTGTATGAGCTTATTATAATAAAAAAGAATAGAAAAATGGATTTTTTGAATAAATTAAATAAAATTTTTAAAATTAAATGGACATGACTAAAATACGCGCCCCAAAAAACTACACGCTCCTATGAGCCCCCTATCAAAAAAGCTTAATTTAAATTATATCATTACAGAATCGTATTTAGCTTCATAAGATGAGTTAGAAAATGTTTTCTTTATTTAAAAAAAATAGCAACATAGTAAAATTTTTAAAAAAATATTTTTTACATGACTAAACTACAAAGAAGCTTAATACATAAAAATGAACACAGAATCATATATAACTTATTAAAAGGAATCAAAAAATGTTAATACTAAGTTTATAAATTATTTATAACTTATTGAGATTTTGAAAATACACTTAATTTCTTCTTTTTTGATTAAATTTTTACTATGTTGCTATTTTTTTTAAATAAAAAAAACATTTTCTAACTCATCTTATGAAGCTAAATACGATTCTGTATTAATATAATTCAAATTAAGCTTCTTTGATAGGGGGCGTGTAGTTTTTGGGGGTGCGTATTTTAGTCATGCCCAATTAAACAGTTAAATTTAAAGGTAATAAACATTCCTGGATGAGTATCAAATATAGATAGGACCTATAGTAAACCAAAAAAAACAATTAGAAAAAGAGACAAGATAAATGTATATTTATAAAAAAATCCGGAAATAGGAACCAAAAGCAAAAAATAATATAAAAGTAAACTTTAAAAAACAGGAAAAATTAAAACAAAATTAATAAAACCAATATTATAATAAAAGATGTCCTTTTCATATCAGTTTTTACTAAAATGAAATGATTCCTTTATTTATTAAATTAAAAAACTAATAACTAGTAAAAAATAAGAGATTATACTCAACACAAAATATTTAATAATTACATTTGGTTCCCACCCCTCAACACCCAAAAATTTTTCTTCTCAAAAATAAGTTTTTTTAAAATTATACTGGAAATAAGATGCTTCTAAATTTTAATGGTCATAAAATGTTATATAATTTGTAAATCTAGCAAATATATTTAAAAAATAAAGATTCAACAAAATTGTGATTTTCAATTTGAAATGCATATATCAGTGGATATAAAAAGCTTGATCATAAATATTTCATTCATTTTAAAGTGAAATCAAATTTCTTTTTATGTTGATTTATTAAAATAAAATGATCCATTAATATAATTTATATTTAATTTAAGTCTGTCCTAATGTTTAAAAAAATTAATAATTTTTTCTTGGCCAATTCCAGCTAAGATGTGATCAGATTTTATTTTTATGACCATATCGATAGTTTATAATGTGATGTGTAGAGTAATACTGGTTAATAATGTTAAAATTAAGATCTATTCAAAATTCTAAAAGAATACTTTTTAATATTTGCAAATTTTGGGTCAGAAATATAATTATAAGCTAAAGATAATTTCCATGAAAAAATTCCCAACAAATTTTTTTTCTGATGATGTTGGATTATATAAAAAAAATATTAAGGGAATTGTTTCTGAGGAAATCATCCATGATTTAATATAAGTCTATTAATCACATTTCATATATTTTGATTCTAAAAGTTTTCAAACAAAATTTCTTATCATAAATATCAAAAATAATAAATCAAATATTAATATATTAAAAAAATGCAAAATGCTGTTTAAAACCCCATAATAAAATTTTTATTAGAAATAGAGAATTTTTTATAATTCTCTAGCTAATTTGATTAAACATGTGGAATCCCTTTATTAGTAAGAGCATTAATTGAGTTTTCATATTCATAAAAATTGAGAAACCCATCATTATTAAGATCAAATCTCATAATATTGTCAACTTCATTTATGATAGATTCTTCATACCCAGTTAATATTGATTGAAGATTATCATTGACTAATAATTTTTTAAAAATAAATTTCACATAAAATTAAGAATTTACATTTCATCAAATGGTGAGTATGATGAAAAGAATGACCTATTTCTAGTCCATTTAATAAGCCATCTTTATCCAGATCATGCAAGCTAAAATAAGATAAAAGATATTCCTTTTCTGAAAAAGATTTTGTATCCATAATATCTTTTAAATCGTCCTTTATATGTCTAATTGTGGTACAATAAGTAATTTATTGAATATTTAATTACTGTTTATAAGAATCCGTATTTGGGCTAATGACTTTATTAATATTTAAATCTGGATGATTGTGAGAAAATATCACGGCAAAAAGGCATGATAGTAATATAATTCTAAGCTAAATAAAGTTATAGAAATGCATGTTATTAAAATTTTAACTTTACCATCTATAGGTTGTCGAGGATATATAACGTCGGTCTACGAATAATTAATTCATTAATTAATTTAGCACGTTGAGACAGAACCGAGAATCCAATGACATATCGCTGGTTTTTTTTTATTAGGAATGAGGCCTACAAAACTTTTTTACCGAGATAATTATCAGATGGGGTGCTCGATTTCGAATTTTAAATTTTATATTCCATATAATAGATTACCATATTTCATTTCTAGATGACTTATTATTATATATAAGATTATCAGAAATTATAAACTTATGTTATAAGATAATTAATTTAATAAGTTAAATAAGCTCAACTAAAAAAAAATATGGGGAGAATTACCCCCTATGCCTTCTATTTTGCATGCCTTTGACGCGAGTTTCCCTAGTCTTAGGTCGGGTTTTCTTTTAATATATTATACTTTTTAGATTGAAATTTATAAACCCTAAACTAGTATTTAAAATTTCATCATTTGTCATTTATCTACATAGTAATACTAAAATATAAATAATAAAAAAACAAGGAAAAACATTTGTAAGCTAAAGATGATATTTTTTATTATAAAATATTCATTTTTACGCTATAATATACACGATTGCAGAATTGATATAATATAATTTAATATATCAAAAATCATATATATTTGTGATGCGGATAAATTTTACAACTAAAGAATTACAAAAGTGATAAAAATGTTTATTTATTCCTACAACGACTGAATTGATAATCAATGCAATATAATTCTTAGCAACGCTCATTTTCAAAAGGTTAAACTAATAAAACGCTCTATAACCATTTTTTTATATCTATTATTCATAATTAATCTTCATTAACCAAAATTTTTGAATAAGATTAGTTTGAAAGTGTTTTTCATTAAATGTACTTTATTGAACTAGTTATATGGATTACCACTACCATCAATCATCCTTGCCATATTATCCTCATCAGATTCCATTCCTATATCTAATTTTATCTTAATTTATCTATTTTTTTTTCATTTTTGCCTACATTATTTATATCTCTCTCATTCATAATATCTTCTTTCTTCATCATCCAAATAATCTAAATAAATTTAGTTTAAAAGAATATTCTATTAAATATACTTTGTTGAACTACAACTCCTTCTTTATCCAATATGCCTTTATATGAATCGTTGCAATCAAGAACCATGTTTCATAACTTCCTCAACAGATTCCATGCCTATATATATTTTTGTGTTTAATAAAAAAATTTACTATCATAGATTATATCACCAGATTCAACCTCGTATATAGCGTCTATTGCTTTACAAATAAAATATTAAATTAATTTAACTATTTTTTTCTCTTAATTTACTTGCTTCCAATATTTATATTACTCGCAACTATTATTAATATTCTTTTATTATTTAGTTTGAAATTGAAAAACTGTATTTTAATTATACTTTATATTCAACTCCAACTCCTTCATTGTTACTCTTCTTCTGTTTAAAATATCATCAACATCAATATTGTTTCTAGTTTCACCAGGAATGTAAACCCTTCGACAAAAAAAAGGGTCCATGTCCGGGTTCGGGTACAGGAATAAAATTTGAAAGGACCCGGGTCCAGGGTTCGAGTTCAGGGAACATAAAAATAATGACTCAAAATAAGATTTTTTTTTCATTCATTTATTATTATACTTCAATATATACATATTCATAATTTACAAATGAAAAATTTAAAAATGAAATAATTTATATTTTAAATGATTTATTCTCGCACAATCATAATATCTTCAAAAATATCATCCTTGAGATTTCCACGTAAAGTAGACAATATATATCTCAAAGATGAAAATTCACGTTCTACCCTTACCTAAAATAGATAGTTATCTTTATAAAATTATTGTACTTGTGTTGCCGGTACAGCCATGAAGATTCTAGATAAGATATATAATTCTGAATATATTGAAGAATTTTCTACTTAGAATTTTAAAATATTTATATCCTTATTTATTCTCTCAACTTCTGAGAACTTTACTATTATAGATGCAATAGGAATTTTTTAATCCTCCTTTTTATCTGATGATAATTTGATTTTTTTCTCTATCTAAAAGTAAAATTTCAAGATCATCAATGTTGTTATCATTATTATTATCACTACAACCAATAGGTATTGTCGTAGCCTCCAATATATTATAAATAATGGAGTTTTGCTTGTGCCATAAATCCTTAAGATAGTCTTTAGCCATTTGTTTTTGCTCAATACAAATAAAACTTGATATCGAGGGTATAAATCCTTAAGATAGTCTTTAGCCATTTGTTTTTGCTCAATACAAATAAAACTTGATATCGAGGGTCTAAATATATAAAAGCGTTTACAACACTATTTTGCAAATATTGTTGCTTTTCATGTTTTCTAAAATTTCATATAAAAAGGACTGTAAATTTTTCTAAATCTAATCGGCATCTAATCCATATGCCTTAAAATCAAATAAACATAATTATTCTGAATGTAATCTTATTATTGTTATTTTTAAAGGAACTAATACACTAGTAAAGTCCTTTATTTGGCACCAATCATCTTCCGACAAAGTGACTTCACATGTTTCTATAATAAAATCATTACAGAAATCTTTAAAACTTAATAATCGTTCTATCATCATAAAAATTGAGGACCAACGTGTTGTGCATAATCATTTAAATTAAAATATTATTTCTTGCACTACAAAATAATTCACTTTCAAAATAATCAACGTATTTCTATAACATAGCATATTAATAAATTTACATACTAAAATATTATTAGACTAGAAAATAATTTATGATATCAATTTCTAAATATCCAGGAAGAAAATTGAAAGAAAAACGCGAAGTAAAAATAAATGATTCCACAAAAAAGTTAATAAAATTTAAAAAAATATATTTTATTAATTAAAAAAATATTTTTATTTTTAAAAATTTTTATGACACCTAGAACCCTTGGACCCTCCATTTTTAAAAGGGTCCGGGTTCGGGTTCAGCCAAAATACGAGGGTTCAGGGTCCGGGTTCGGGTTCACATCCCTGGTTTCAATCATAATATCTATATCATCTTTCCAAGTACTTTCTCTAACTCAACCTTTTTTGGTTTTGCAGATCTTTAAAGTAAAGATAAGAAAATATGTAGTTAATTTAGAAAATTACATATATCAAATAGGTTTATAGATCGTTTAACTCTAACATTTGCTGGTTCCAAAAGTCAAAACATTTTGACTTCCTTTTTTAACTGATAATTATGTAAAAACAAAATTTGGAGTGACACTTGTAATATAGAAAAAAATATATAAATAATAAAGGTTCTAATTAATAATATAATCTCTTTAATAATTTTTATTCATCCAATAATCATAATTACAATCGGTAAAGTAAAAGGTATATACATAATAAAAATCATTTCAAATTTAAAAATTATAGAAAAATAAAAAATTCTAAAATATAAAATCTCACAATTCAGACGCGTTTTCATCTCGTTTACATAACAAAATTATTTATCTAACAAATATATAGTCTGTGCATAACCAATCCATAATTCAGTAAGTAATTTTGCATATAATAAAAATAAATATTTGCATATTATAACACCCTTCCACTTAAATTAAACCTCTCCAACCATTCCTCAAATGACCTAAATTCCCTTCGATTTCTGTTTTATTGATCTTATATCTCCACCAACGCTAATCTTTTTAATTCTTTATCCAATGACTTATTTTAATCACACATCATGATCTTTTGTGTCCTCTCAGTTTTAACGACATCTGCCTTTTGTCTCGTATTCTTAGCTTCAAACGACTGTTTGTATCAGATTACCGATTTATTTCTTTACAAAGTGTATTCTTTTAATAGCATCTTGAAATTCTTGAACCTATCTTTTGTTGCCTGTCAACCACTTGTAAATGATTAGCTCTTTATTTCTGTAAGCTATTGACGATGACCTATACCCGATTAACGCTTGCTTTTTAACTATTCATGATTTATAGTCAACGATTATCGATCGATTCTAGTCTATATTGTCAACTTTTGTATAATTTTTTATAGTATGTTGCTTGTTTCTAACGATCTCTAGAATGATTAGCGTGTAATCTCTAACAACTTGAGTATAACTTGTAATTGATAAACAATTGCTTTTAAACGATTATCGATTAATTCTAGTTTCTTTTTCAACTTTGCTTCTTCAATCAACATCATGAAATTCTTTTGATAAATTATCATAATTTTAGTTTCTTGTTTCTAATGATCTCTAGAATGATTAATCTTTAATCTCCGTAACAATTTAATTTATAATTGATTAATCAGTATCAATTAATTTTATTTTCTTTTTAAACTTTATTTCTTCTATTAACCGTATTTAACTCTCTTGATAAATTATTTTAGTTTTTTCTGATAATCTCTTATAACTGATTCTCGCTTCATTGTCGATTAATTCTAGTCATCTTAATTTGTTTCTAATTTTCTCTTGAAAATGTTTAGCGCCTTATCTCGATAAACGATTGGCGATAACTGGTCAGCGATTAAGGATTTTCACGAATTCTTGTGCCTATAACTAACGACAGTTTGCTTATACTCATCGATTCTATTGTTTCTTTACCTTAACTTGATTTTAGTCTAATTTTTATACCCAATAAATTCTATAATTATGTCCCATCTCTTTACCGTCAATTAGCCTAGCCCAATATCTTCATTGGACTCTTTGACTGTAGTAGTCCTATAACCATTGATCATCATCTTTTGTGAACCATTTCTACGGTTCAATTTAAATCTAAAATTCTCTTGATAATCTTGAATCTAAAAATCTCTTAATTAAATATTTATATTTTACAAAATCATATTTAACATAATTAGCCAAAATATTTACATAATAACAAAAACTATCTTATTAACTTCAATTCTGAATACAAAAATTAATTAAATCATAAAATAAACTATTTAGCTAAATATTTAATAATAAAACAAACCAGTGGCGTAGCTACGGGGGTGTTTTTCGGGTTTGGACCCCTCCCAGAGCAAAATTTTTTTTAGATTATACGTTCAAAAGACTTAAAAGTGATTTTATATGAATTA